GAGTACTTTGTGCTTTGTCCTGTGGTAATAGTGGGGATAATGAAGGTACTTCTGGTAATAGGAGAACGAATGTCCTTATTCTTAAGCTGAAGCTGTGTAAAATCAAATGCTGCATTTGCTCATTGAAGTTTTATGAAACTCCTTATTAAAATTTCCATAGGAAAAATAACATTGTCATGAGAAGTTTAAATCTTCCTAGCTGCTAACCTCTTGAAAGTAGGACATGAACTTTCTTAAGGAATAAATCACGGGAAGAAGGCAGAATAGATTAACCAGCAGAGGAAGAAAACTCTTCGCATTAGGGGCCAGTAGGTGAGGATTAGAGATTGGTGACAGCTTTATGATTGAAGTGGTGTTTGAGCTGTGACCTGAGGATATGGAGAGGGAAAACAGCATTTCTATGGGAAGGAAGATCGTAAGTAGGGTCATAGAGGCAGGATGTGGCAAAGCATAAGTCATCACAATTGGTATGGTTTGGCTGGAGAACAGGTTCTGGGAGTATGGGACAAGCAGGTAGAATTTGCAGGCATGGAGGAGTAGTAGATTGAGGCTAGGTCATGGAGACTCCTGTATGTGCTGTGAAGGAGTATGGTTTTTATTCTGTAGGTAATGGAGAACCAGAGAACTCGTGTGACCTCAGGAGCAAGATTATGTGACTTGATTAGGAAAATTATTCTGCCTCTAGTGTACAGGATGGTTTAGCAAGAAGACAGGCTGGAAGCAGGATGAGCATAGGTCAGTGTAACCATCCAGGTGAGAAATAATAAGGGCTTTGGCCAGGGTTAATAGTAATAGACATGGGGATGAAATCTGGAGAACAGGTTCTGGGAGTATGGGACAAGCAGGTAGAATTTGCAGGCATGGAGGAGTAGATTGAGGCTAGGTCATGGAGACTCCTGTATGTGCTGTGAAGGAGTATGGTTTTTATTCTGTAGGTAATGGAGAACCAGAGAACTTGTGTGACCTCAGGAGCAAGATTATGTGACTTGATTAGGAAAATTATTCTGCCTCTAGTGTACAGGATGGTTTGGCAAGAAGACAGGCTGGGAACAGGATGAGCATAGGTCAGTGTAACCATCCAGGTGAGAAATAATAAGGGCTTTGGCCAGGGTTAATAGTAATAGACATGGGGATGAAATGACAGATTTTAAGTGAAGAGTCAAATAGAGTTCAAGCATGGGGTATGAGTGAGAGGGAGACAGCAAATATGATTGAGAGTTTGATGGGTAAAACAAAGCCATCTTGAAGGGACACAGGTATTACTGGAAAAGGAGCAGGTTTGGAAGTTCTGGAAAAGGTGAGCACTGTCTTAGACATGTTAACAAATCACAATGAAGAAATATTAAGAAAGCTGAATAATGAAATTTGTTTTATGAGAGCATGACTATAATACAATGGAAAATAAGCATGAATCATAATAGAGTTGATTGTTGTAGTTATAATTTTATTCTGTGTACCTGCTAGTATTCTTTTTAGAGAGGAGAGCAGGGGAGAGGAAAAGTGAGAGAGGAGATAGGAGAGAGAGAGAAAGAGTGAGAAATTTAAATGGAATAAAAGTCAGCTGAGCACAATATTTTTGTCTTTACTGTCTTCTAAGGAAAAACAAAGTCCTGAATCTGAATTTATATTCCACATTGTCTTTATCAAGTCAGTTGGTGTCTTTAAATTCAAGTCAGAGATAGGCTCAGTCAGTACTTTATAATCCATATCAAACTGTCAAGAGTAGTTAAGACCTAATGAAACACTCATAGAAAAAATAACAAGAGAAGTTATTTAACAACAAGGATATTACTTAAATTGCTTTTTGGAGTGGTATCGATGTCATTAAAATCTCAGTAAATGATGACTTTTCTAATTGGTTTTAAGCTATTTTAAATCTAGGCTGGTTCAAACTTGTTAGGAACTAGATCAGTTCCTACATCTCTAAGTCACAACCCTAGTCCCACTACACAAATGATTTAACACTCAATCGTGCACTGAAGATAACCCATCTATGTGCCCGAGGCTTCAAAAATCACTTTTCCCCTATGTGGACAATTCAAGCGAAATCTTATTCATTCCTTGGCTTGAAAAATCCTGCTAATCTTGCACTGACAGTAATCTGACACTGGAGAGAGAACTTTTGGGGCTAGGTTGAAGAAATGGACTAGTTTGAGAAGCAGCAGTGAACGTTCCTTTCTTCTCTTTTAAAATTACCTTTTAAAAATTATAAAACTAATGCATACTGACAGTAATCTGACACTGGAGAGAGAACTTTTGGGGCTAGGTTGAAGAAATGGACTAGTATGAGAAGCAGCAGTGAACGTTCCTTTCTTCTCTTTTAAAATTACCTTTTAAAAATTATAAAACTAATGCATTTCCCATTAAAAAATTAAAACCATACTAAAATCTAAAAAGCATGGTGACACCTCTTTTTGCTTTCCTTTCACCACCCTGTGTTCCTCTGACTCTGCAAATGTAACCAGGCTGCAAGAACACTTTTCTAGAGCACTTTTCTTTTCATTCCTCTTTTTTTTTTTTTTTAAAAAAAAGGTATTTATTAATTTATTTTTAATCAACACATTGTAATTGTACATATTTATAAGGTTACAATTTGATGTTTCAATACATATGTGAGTGTGTTGTATAATGGTCAAATCTGGGTAGTTAGCATATGTATCAAACTTTTATAATTTTCTTTATGGTGAGGCATTCAAAAGCCTCTCATCTACTATTTCATAATATACAATACCCTACCATTAACTGTGCCACCCTACTATGCAATGGAACACCAGAACTTATTCCTCCTATCTAATTGTGACTTTGTACCTGTTGACCAACGTCTCCCCATATTACCCTTCCCTTCCCCTTTTCAGTCCCTGGTAACCACTGTTCTACTCTCTCCTTCTATGATACTAACTCTCTCTCTCTCTCTTTTATAGATTTCACATATGAGTGAGACCATGCAATATATCAGTGTCTGGCTTATTTTACTTAGCATGATGTGCTCCAGGTCCATCCATGTTGCTGCAAATGACAGGATTTCATTCTTTTTTATAGCTGACTAGTACTCTATTGTGTATATATACCATTTTTCTTTATCCATTCATCTTTTGTAGGACACTTGGGTGTATTCCATATCTGGCTGTTGTAAATAGTGTTGCAATACACATGGGAGATATCTCTTAGACATACTGATTTCATTTCCTTTGGATATATACCCAGTAGTGTGATGAGGGTCATATTGTAGTTCTGCTTTTAATTTTTTGAGGCACGTTCATACTCTTTTCCATAGTGGCTGTACTAATTTATACTCCCACCAACATTGTATAAGCAATGTTTCTCCACATCTTCACCAACAGTTTCCTTTTGTCTTTTTGATAATAGCCATTCAACTGGAGTGAAGTGGTATCTCATTGTGGTTTTGATTTGCATTTTTCTGATGACTGTTGACATTGAGCACTTTTTTATGTACCTGTTGGCCATTTGCCATTTGAATGTCTTCTTTTGATAAATGTCTACTAAGGTCTTTGGCCCATTTTTTAATTGAGTTATTTTATTTTATTTTTTGTTGTTGTTGATTAAGTTCCTTATGTATTCTGGATATTAAGCCCTTGTTAGGCATATAGTTTGCAAGTAATTTCTCCCATTCTGTAGATTTCTCTTCATTTTGTTCATTTTCCTTTGTTGTGCAGAAGGCTTTTATTTATTTATTTATTTTATTTTTTTTTCCTTTTTGTCTTTTTTCGTGACTGGCAACGGATCGCAACCCTCAGTGTCGCGCCTGTACCAGACCGGGACCGGCAACGGGATCGCAACCCTCGGTGTTGCTCCCGCACCTCGCTCAGCCAGTGAGCGGCCGGTCTGTATGTGGGATCCGAACCCTCGGCGGGAGCGCCGCCGTGCTCCCAAACAGCGCACTGTAGCAGTGTGCCACCGGGCCGGCCCAGAAGCCTTTTATTTTGATGTAATCCTATTAGTCCACTTTTGCTTTTGTCGTCTCTACTTTTGAAGTCTTGTTTAAAAAAATCCTTGCATTAGATATGGTGTTGATGGGGGGGAGGGCAGGGGAAAAGGAGGAATTGGTAAAGGGACATGAAAATCAACTATATTGTATATTGATAAGTTAAAAAAAAACATTGCCCAGCCCAATATCATATAGTATTTCCCTTGTGTTTTCTTCTAGTAGTTTCATATTCTTTCTTTTTTTGAAAGCCTGTTCTGTGTGGGCTCTGTGTAGTCACATTCAGGCAACCCTGGCCCTGCCACACACCTGCTCACTGCTCACCACCTGCAAGGGTTAACCGCTTTGGGCTGACACATAACTTCTGAGAAGCGGATGAAAGATTTGATTCTTTCCCTAGAAAAACACATGCATAACACAGATACTTGCATATGGTTGCAGGGTGTTCAAGGAACTCTGGAAGCTCAGAGAATCCCTGAACTCCAGGCAAAGAGACCTTTAGCTATGAATGAGTAAGTGGGAAAGCTCTCAAAGGTTGGAATCCGAAAACTAATGCTGTGCCTGACTTTCTATGACTTGAAAAAGATGAATTATTTATGCATGTCCATTTTGTCCTCCTGTATTAAGGAAAGATGTGTTATCTGTTATTGATCTTATACAGATTTTATGAATATCCTTACGTTCCAAAATTACTGCTAAAGGAGATTAAACAGAACAAGAACAGGGACCGTTTTAAAATTCTTGGAACTACTCTTACATTGAGTTTAATTACTAAGGACTCAGCTTATATTTCAGAAATACCCTATACTCCTTACCTGGTTAAAGATTTATACACTACATGCAGTTTTCTCTCCCTTCAAAGCTAAGATTATAATTTATCAAGTAGGAGCCCAATTAATTTCTAACATATAATTTTATTTTATTTAATAATTTAAAAAATTAAAATTAATTAATTAGAAATTTTTTTCATTCATTTTATTTTTTTGGAGGTCTACACCTGCCAATATTTTGGTTAAGGTGTTGACAAGAAATGATTATTTGTTTGTTTATTTTACAGAAAGACTGGGATTTGGAAAGGGGCCCTGATGAGAAGCTGGATGAAAATCAGCACTTTGATTTAGATTGTGGGTCCCAAAGCCTTCCATGGACCAGGAAAGTCTATGAGTTCTACAGAGCTCCGATTGTCAAATTTTGGTTTTATACGGTTGGTCTCATTGCAACAATATATAAAGTATGAGTGATGGGTAATGTTGATAATGATATGCCCGATTTGCCAATTTGTGCTAAAAATGTAGAAGTGTAGTAAAAAAAGTGAGGGGATGGTAAAAAAGATTAGGAAAGAGGATTGGAGGAAGGTGATGAACTTTTAGTGCGGAGCTGTCCTACTGTGGGAGTTAAACAAGCATTTTCCTTCCTGGTGTACTTAGAGTTAGCACAGCTGAGACTGAGCATTTGAAGCTTTGTGGAACACTAAAATCAAAAGCAGTATTTGTAGAATTAAGTCATAGGTGGATGGATTTTTTCCCACCTTGGGCAAGAAAATCAGCAATTTAATCAATTTTTCTTTTTAGAAATAATGCTTTATATAGACTAAAATGCAAATTTTTTTGTTTGTTCTGTTTTCAATAGCGTAGACTTATATAGAGAAAAACAAAAATTTTAGAAGCTGAATGGTGTGACGAAATACTCAATCGATTATGGACAGTAAAGATACAAAGAAAGCATGAGTTGTACTTTAAAATGGATTAAGTGTTTTTTACATTTATTTAGTATCATTTGTTTTTCTAATGCTTATCTGTCTTTAAATTGCTCATGGCCAAGGTTTTGTATTTCTAAAACATCTGAAATGTGATTATAGAAGGATATTTATCTGTGTTATATTTCAAAATATTTACTTGGCCAACCACACACTTATTTCATGTTCTTTATTGAATAAGTACATAGCTCTGATTGACTTTTACCTGTTTCCAAAAATCAAATCTTCCTTGAAATGATGAGATTTCACTGCTTTGGGGAATATGTGGCAAAATATTTGAGAGATTCTGATAGGAGCTCTGAGAATTTTAACCGTAGTCCTATCAGTGGGAAAAGAGTACTCAGGTGTTTCTTTTGAAAGAAGTTTCCAGCTCAAGAGCTTTTAGAGACAGGAGCAAAGCTGAGCAATAGAACCGAGACAGCCAGATCTGCCCACCATACCAGATGGTGGTAGCAGCGAACACAGGCATTTCAGCCTTGGCTATCACATTCCTAGACTATGGTGTGTGTGCTTTATTGAAGCAGCATTTCGCTTTGCTATTAATGTTGTAATTAAAAAGCAAAAATGTAAACATTTTTGGATCAAATTTTAAGAAGTGGAAAGAAATAGAGTCAGAGGCAATACCACCAATATCTAGAGTGTTTTAGTGCAGCTTCATTTTATCTGGATGTGAATAGTTTGGTTGCTTGTAACCTTGTATGATGTCACTTTGGACTCATGAGCAAATGGACTTCAAATAGCCATTAGGAACCAATCTATTCTTAAATAGTGCTGCTTTTTCAAGCTGAGTGCCTATTGAATATGTTTGCAGTCTTTTGTTTATAAATCTGTCACATTCATACAGTCACACATTACATATGTGAGAAAGAAAGCATTATGGCTGAAGACAACGTAAGCTCCAGATCGTTCAATTGTGCTTCACTGAGACTTACTGCTATCTTCAAGGTATCGTACTAGGCACTGGATATCGGGTGGGAAGCAGACATTCTCAAGCATAGATGCTGTCCTCAAGCAGCTTACATTTGGGTAGGGGAGACTATTTGTGTATGAAATGATGCTAATCTGAAACAGGAAATAACACAATATAAATAATGATAGAAATACAAATGGATGAAGGTCCTAAGATATACCTCAGAGTAAAAGTTAGGGAGTCACAAGAATCTCCTCACTGAGCTTTCAGAAGGAGAGAACAGACCTATAGTTACCAGAGATAGGAAAGGGGAAGGGAAAAGAGGATAGGGGGTTATTGTATAAGGGACACAAAGAATAATTATGATTTGTAATGATGAATATGCTAATAATATTGATTTGATCATCACATACTGTAGTCAACACAAATACTGATAGTCAACTCCGTACTCCATAAATATTTATAATCAAAAATAAATTTTAAAAAAGTTAGGGAGCCAATTGTCTGGCCACTGTGAAACCCAGGACAAAAATGTAAAAAAAAAAATGTTTGCTAGAACAAATTTATTTACATTATGTCCCTAAGGAGTCATCAAAAATATTCAACCTTTGAGACATAGGCCAAGAGAAGTATAGAACTAATAAAATTTCCCTTTTTCTTACATGCTTCTCTTCTACAGTTTTTTAACTCATAGATGGTAATACCCGACATGAGTACCCCAAATGCCACCTATTGTAAATAATACCACTCTTGTATGGTCAGAAATGGCTTAAGCCTTTATGTTGTCTGTGCATAACTAGGCTTAGAAGCAGTCTTAATAACTTAGGTAGTGTCAGGCTCTTTGACCTGCCCATATTCCTGCTGACTGGGCCAATTGTAGAGCTAGGGCTGGGTCTGGAGCTCAGAGACCCCTCAAGTCCATTCACAGACTGGGTCACAAACCCTTCACATGCCAGGCTGGGTCACCAGACCCCTCACACACAGGTCTATGATCTAGGTAACCAGCAAAAAGGTCCTTGGAGCTGTAGGTTCAAGAGTATGGCTGCATGGAGCAGACACCCAAGGCAGTTGATGCCAGCCAAGCCACAGTGCCCCGCATATGCACTAACTCCACCCACACGCAACTTGCTTACAAAGAATGTGCTGCACCACCCCCAAGCAGCCCTAAGGTGAGGGGGCCTGATTAAATTATTCTATTTTCCCAACAGGTAGGATTCAAAAAGACATGGGAAGTGAGGATCAAGCTTAAAATAAAACGACTCTTGTTAGAATGAACATACATGCACATTTCTCTCTCTACTGATTTAGGGTTTTTTAATGTGAGTATTGGTCATGAAGCACTCTGTGTTGTTTTTGAAGCTGTTTAAAAGACTGCAAACATTGTTGGTGACAGTGTAAATTGGTAAAGGCTTTCTAACTGGTAATTTAGTAATATTCGTCATAGTTTTAAATGTGCATGTCCAGGTAATCTGCTTGTGGGAATATATCTTAAGAAGATAAGAACATTGGATAAGATTCCAAAGCTATTAATCACTATGTAGAGACGTGTGTGTGTTTACTGTGTTTTAATTCTTTGAAGAGATTGGAAATCTAGGTATAATACACACAGTTAATAATTAAACAAACTGAGTGTCCACCACGTGTCAATTGGTGCTGAGTGCTGAGGACAAAAACCTCAACAAACAGTCCTTAGTTACAAGGACTCACAGTTGGGCAAAACTTTTCTACTAACCAGAATATTTCAATCAGCATCAAATAAAACTGCCAGCAGTAGTAAATGCGACAACTCCTTGTACTGAAAAATACACAGACACCGAGGCTGCTCATCTGGCTCTTCCTGTGTTTAAGATGATTCCTTCCTGGCTTGCTCTTAGCCTGACTATGTCCATGTTGGAATGTGCAGGGTTCTGGAAATTCCAGTCAGGAGCCAACAGCATGAGACAGTGTTTCCTTCCTCACATCTGAGAACAATGCTTTTTATTCCTGCCACTAAATCCTAGAGTAGAAAACTGTGGATTCCTGTGCTGTCCTTGAAGTTAGATCAGCCATAATCAGAATGTGGTCTCAGTTATGTTTTCATGTTACCACATTGAAGTTCACGCCGGTGTTTCTGCTGGGCATCCTTCGTGACTGCTCCCACTCACGTCCCTGCAATGTGTGTCCCCCTCACAGATGGCATATTTGGCATTCCTCATGCTGTTCACTTACACCGTGTTGGTGGAGATGCAGCCCTGGCCCAGCGTGCAGGAGTGGCTTGTGATCATTTACATCTTCACCAATGCTGCCGAGGAAGTCAGGGAGGTGAGGTGGCCCTTCTGCCTTGTCTTCTACTCACCTCTGCTAGAGGTGATGACAATGGACCTGTCAAGGGTGGTGGGGAGGGGAGAGGCAAAAAATGCTGATGCTGATTTGCATCCTGCCAGACGGTTACTTGGGAAATCCTGGACTTCGATCCTTTATTCTTGTGATTACTTTCTGCTGGTTGCTGCACTTTGGAAGCAATTACCTTCAAATAATTCAGATGTCTTAGTGTGTTTACCAGTCCTAGAGTGATAAGTGATGCTCTGATTGTCATTGAACCCTCCAACTGTTTGATTTCCCTGAAGTGTCTGTTTTTTTTTGGTGGGAATGATTTTTATAGCCTAGTTTTACTTACGTATTGTCACCTATTTCATCTGATAATACGCTAATGGCACATAAATGGCCAAAGTTGTCCAATATGTAAGAAACACATTTATAACTTTTAAAAGATTCTACTAAACACCTTTCAAATTGAAGCTGAAAATCTCTCTGGAGCAAGTGGTCTAAGAAACAAAACAAAGCAAAATTTTGATTTCTTGTTGCAATGCGTCACATAAAAAAATTAACATTCCTATGCCGTTATAGCTGCAATCACAAATAGTTGTGACTTAGACTGTTCTAGATATTAATGTCTATGTGTCTCTATGTCTATGAATACATACATTTATTTAGTCCTAGAGGTAATATGACCAACATTATGTGCTAGGTAAATACATTCTTAATTATACCTATATTACCTGCTAGTTACTGTGTGGAGTTTATAGATTGTAGAAAATAATCCAGTAGAGAAATGTTATCTGAATTCTATCATTTTTTAATGCTTTAGGGAAAATAGGTTTACTATTTTACATTTCAGTTTGTCGGATATGGTGTTTCAGGGATATTTTCTTATATTAGTGACTTTTAATACCACATTCTTAGTAGTTTGTCAACAGCTCACTAAATAGTAGCAGCAGGACTACTGCTGTTACAGGATTCCTTGTTTTCAGTCCAGTGTTCTTTGCAGTCTGCTATGCCTCATGAAATGTAACTGTAGCTGTAAAGATACATTGCAACGTGAGGTTTTAAAATGCCTTGGTGTTTCCCCATGTTAGTTTAAAACTAATGGAAGATAGAAAAAGTAAATTTTTTTTTTGACTTCTAGTTGGGTTTTCAAGTGTCTGTCTAGCATTAAAGTATATTTATAGAATTGTTTAAATAATTCATTACCAAGAATAACTTAAGTCTCTAAAATCCCCGTGTGATTTAAGGTTTGGCAGGATTCGGATTACTCTTTAAATGAGCGGTTGATGTATTCAGGATGACGTTGATGGGATCCTCTTTCTTTAAATTCCCCTCTGACTTTCTTCTTTTAGATCTGTATTTCAGAACCTGGGAAGTTCACTCAGAAGGTGAAGGTGTGGGTCAGTGAGTACTGGAACTTCATGGAAACCGTGGCGATTGGCCTGTTTTCAGTTGGTTTCGGCCTTCGGTGGGGTGACCCTCCTTTTCACACAGTGGGAAGACTAATCTACTGCATAGACATCATATTCTGGTACTCACGGCTCCTGGACTTCTTTGCTGTGAATCAACATGCAGGTCCCTATGTGACCATGATTGCAAAAATGGTGAGGACGGTCTGGTTTTATATTCTGGTATTCTTTTTCATGGTTCCACCTAATTTCATGGTTCACACAGGATAGTTTAACTTTTGGAATTATTAATAGAAATAGACAGCACGATCATTTCATCACAGCTTTCTGTATGACCACAAACTGTTTACTAAACAAATGTCCCTGGAGAGCATATTCGGTAGTTGATCAGGATACTCAGTTTACCCTTTTAGTTAGGGTCACATGATAGGGGATTGAGTCAGATTTGTCTTTGAGCACAGTAATTCCTGAGGGCCAGATGTGTGGGAGGCTGCCACCAATTATGTTTTCTACTAAAATATCAATTTATTCTTTTACCTCTCACTCACCTCTCCCTTCTCAGTCTCTTAATCGTGCTTAGTAAGGGCCACACACCCGTTCTATGCACTTTGCATATATTAACTCATTTTATCAGGTGGGTCGTGTTATCAACCACATTTTACAAACAAGGAAGCAGAGGTTAGTTAGGTGCATTCCTTAAGGGCACACACAGGGGAGCCAGGGTTCAAAAGTGGCTCCGGTCTGTCACCTGGGCTTGCTGTGCAGTTGCCTCCTCTTTTCCCATCTGGCTTTTCTCAAGAACCTAAAACCTCCTCTCTGGGAAGTGCAGTATGTCAAGATCGTCTCTGGCTTTGCTTTCTAGGGTACTCACTGGCAGTTAAGGGGCATGTTCTGGGGGACGAAGGAGAGGACAGAAAAGGGAGGACCTCCAGGAACTCCAGATTTTTCTTATTTTACACTTTTCTCTTAGACCAGAAATGTTTTCTCTGGTTTGGTGACACAGGTATTCATCAGATAGGCTATGCTGAAGTAACTGGTATGTGTCAGTGACTCAGCACAAGGTTATTTCTCCCTAATGCAGGGTTTGGTAAGCACTCATGGGGCTGTCCTCTATGCAGTGATGTGGGCTTCTAGAATCCCTCTGCTTTGTGACATAGCCATGTCAGCATGTGACTTCTAAGGTGGTCTATGGCAGGGAATGAGAAGGATGGAGAAAGTCTAGTGGCTTTTAATTGCACTGGACAGAAAGCGACCCAAGTCACCATCACTCCATAGCCCATTAGCTAGAATAGGATTCATGACCCCAGCCTAATGGAAATGAAGCTTAAAAAGTGTAGAGAAGCTCATGGAATACTGATGGAAATTTTGGTGGATACTGTCTCTGACACAGTGAACAAACGGGTTGAGCTGATGTAGTAGGTGGGGCTGGCTGGTTAGCTCAGTTGGTTAGAGCGTGGTGTCATAAGTGCAAGGTCAAGAGTTTGGATTCCTGTACTGGCCAGCAACCAAACACCCCCCCCCCCCAAAAAAAAAACCAAAAAACCATACACATACACACATTAAAAAAACACAACATTTAGTAGGTGGAATGAAACTGGTCTGATCAATTTCTCAGACTCTAATCAATTCCTGAAGATAATTTTGAGAATAAGAAGCCATTGGACTAATTTGAATATACCCTATTTTTTTCTTTTTTTAACCTCTGGTCCAATTGGGGAAAAGTTGGACGATAGCTAATCAAAAGTTGGATGTTAGCCACATTTTATTACCACTTAAAGAAAGCACAGATTCTTTACCGTCAGCACATTTATGTTGTTCCATAGACTGTATTGTCTTGAAACACTTACTCTGCAGAAATAACAAAATAGTTAAGCCAAAGCAAATCCAGCTATTCCTTGACTAGGGCATTTTAGTCAATGACTAGGCAGTCTTACTATTGGCAGGTAAAATTATGATGACTGCTAGTGTTTGATTTGTATTGAATTTAAAATCTGTGGTAAAATTCTGATTGTGCTGTGTGCTGTTTTGCAGGCAGCAAACATGTTCTACATTGTGATCATGATGGCCATTGTCCTGCTGAGCTTTGGAGTGGCGCGCAAGGCTATCCTTTCACCAAATGAGCCGCCGTCTTGGAGCCTTGCTCGAGATATTGTGTTTGAGCCATACTGGATGATATATGGAGAGGTCTATGCTGCAGAAATAGATGGTGCGTATGGGACTTTACCATCATGCAGAAACCGAACCTTTGTAGACACTCTGAGTAAAAAAAAAACAAACCTGGAAAACAATCATCTGCATCTTAGAAATGTAGAACGTTTGTGGTATTCTGCAAAGTGAATGTGCTATATGTTTGAGTCATAGAACTGTGATTTATTTTCTCTCTCCTTCTTTTAAATTCTTTATTTGTAGTTTGTGAAAGCCAGACATCTTGCCCTCCTGGTTCTTTTCTGACTCCATTTCTGCAAGCTGTTTACCTCTTCGTGCAATATATCATCATGGTGAATCTATTGATCGCTTTCTTCAAGTAGGTTATTTTAATTACACCTGGTTATTTTATTTAAATAAAAAAACGGGGGCTGGTACGTGGAGTGGATTCACGTGTATTTTTGAGCATGTAACCTTTGGTTTTTGTGTGTTCCATGTTTTTTTACTGTGATTTAAAAATATGAGCATGAAACTACTAACAGGAAGGAAGCAGAGCGTGGGAAGTGATAAAATAGTAGAAAGTGCCATGAAAGCTGAATGAAAGGAGATCATGAGTTCCAGCCCAGCAGTGAGTTAGAGTCACGGAGGGGGAGCCGGCGACGGGCTGCAGAGCTGGCTGGGAGCTCTCCACACCCTTTCCTCACGGGGCTCCCAGTGCATCGCGTTCCGTGTTTTCTTCTTACTTTTCACTTCTCCGTCTCCTTTACTGAATCATCTTCTTCTCCCCAACTTTTTAAGCATTGGAGTGTCTCTTGGCCCAGACCTCGTTCTTCCCGTATGTAAGCTTTTTGTGATCTTGCTCAGATTCCTGCACATCTTGACCAATCCCAGTTCATGTCTCCAGCCCAGTTCTCTTTCTTAAGCTGCGGTCTTGTTGCTGCCGCTGCCCCCTTCCCTCACCACTCGGAAGGTGATAGATCTGTGAAATATAAAATGTCCAAACTCTTGATCTCCCCTCTTTTCCTCATTGTCTTTCCCAAGACTATGGGGAGGAGCACGATTTTCTAATGAGGCTTCACCTTTTCAATGGCTCAGACCACAATCTCTGCAGTCCTTTCTTTGGTGTGTTTTTGGTTTTGGTGGCTGGCCATGACGGGGGTCTGAACCCTTGACCTGGGTGGAGTCCTTCTTAATTCCTCTCAAATCTCTGTGTCTAAACCGTCAGGAAGTCGTGCTGACTCATCCTTCGGGTAGATCATCCATTGGACCACATGTCACTACCACTGCTACCATACAGCCTCCTAATTTATTTCTCTGCTTCTGTCTTTGGCCTCTGTATTCTGCTCTCGACACAGTAGCCCAAATGACCCTTTGAAAACGTCCATCAGATGATGTCAGTCCTCTGCTCCAGACACTCAGTGGCCCCCCATTCTCCTCTGGGCAGAAGCCCAAGTTCCTACAATGACTGATATAGCCCCGTGTGGTCTGGCTTCCCTGTTCCTTCTCAAATCACGTGTCACTCTCCTCTTCCCTGACCTGTCCCTCGTCAACCACACTGGCCCCTCGCAGTTTTGCAAACAACACGGGTGAGTTTGCACTTGCCGCTGCCTCTGCCTGGAACTCTCTTCCCCAGTTATCGGTGTGGCTCAGTCCCTCACCCTTCCTAGTCTTTGTCCAAATGGCCCCTTTTTAATTAGGACCAACGTAAACATTACAGTTCAAAGTGCAGCCCCTCTCCCCTGCCCTCTCCTTGACATGCTCAGTCCCCCTTCCTCTACTTTCTTTATACCCACTTATATTATAGACACAGGTATATCTAATAAGTTATTTACATATTGTGTTTTTCTGTTATGTGGTTCTTCTACTGGAATATAAGCTCCATAAGGACTCGTATTTTTATCTTTTTTGCTCATAAGTTTACCCCAAGCACTTAAAAGAGTGCCTGGCACATATTTGTTTAATAGATTAAAGAAACCAAGTGAGGTGTTGGGAAGAAACTAGTATTTTCTGAGTGCCTCTTATATGCCAGGCACTGTGCTAGGTGTTTTATTCATAGATTATCCCACTGAAGAGCAAAAAGTGAGAAAAGGGAAAATCAATTCATGGAATCTAAGTTAAGAAAATAGAGAAGATAAGGATGGAAGTAGGAAAATAAATCAGAATACTTAAAAAAGAAAAAAAAAGACTGTTCTCGTATAGTTGTGTTTATATGGGGAGGACATACCTTTCTGCTGGTTACAAGATTATGTGATAGGGATCATCTCTTTTAGCTCTGTCACTTAAGGGACTTATTCCTTAAGTGGTGTTTAGTTATTATAGTTTATTTTTTGATATTTCAAATAATATTGAAAGGGTGTGATTTTTGTTTCTCCAAAAATGTCAGGTGCCAAAAGAAAGGTGGAGAAATACTTACATAGACCAGTGTTCTCACTTTGGAGATGAACACACTGAGGACCAAACAAGCTGTGTGACCTGGGATCTGATGACTTGTCCAGGGGCCTGTACAGGCAGAATTCTTTATACCAATAATTGAAAAGAACCTTAAACACACTGTGAAGGTCGCCACCTGCTGGTGGCAGGCTGTAGTCACATTTGGAGTGATCATTTGCAGCCTAGTGGTTCTGAGAGTTCACTGTGTGTGAGGATCACGTAGAGAGCTTGCCCAAACACAGGCTGCTAGAGTGTCCAGCCCTGGAGTTTCTCATCCAGCAGCTCCAGGACAGGGCCCATGACTGCATTTCTGACATGTTCTTGGGTGATGCTGATATGGCTGGTGCAGTGACCACACTTTCAAAACGACTCCTCTAACCTGGTCATCCGTGTTTCGATGGCCTTCTCTGTGGATACTGTGAAACTGCCCTCCTGCCGTAATCAGGTTCCACTCTGCCATCTTTCTCTAAAGAAACTAATTTTATGTGAGCCTGAGCAAAATGTTACGGGAACATTCCATTGTGCCCTCCTGTATATCACGTTTGCTTACAGTTCAGTAAAGGATGTCACTTTTAGAATAACTGTACCACCCAACCTAGAATAACTGTACCACCCAACCTAGAATAACTGTACCACCCAACCTAACTTCCATCACAAGTTCTATAACATCAATATTTACTATACTGTCTGCATATTATAACTTATGTAATTAAAAAAAAAAAAATGACCAGTAAGGGGATCTTAACCCTTGACTTGGTGTTGTCAGCACCACGCTCAGCCAGTGAGCGAACCGGCCATCCCTATGTGGGATCCGAACCCGGGGCCTTGGTGTTATCAGCACCGCACTCTCCCGAGTGAGCCACGGGCCGGCCCATAACTGATGTAATTTAAAGGAAAATCAAAAATGGCCTACCAATGACTGGTTACTTTTATTGTAAAGTTGATCTAAATAATTTCTGTAGCTTCTCATAGAAGCTCTGCTTATTGATATCTCTTAGGATGAGCAGATTCTTCTTTCCTGTCTCTTCTTCATTAATACTGTTTCATTTGGGTTTTTCAACTGGGATTATTCTAACAGTTCTTACATTTGAAATTAGGAGGATATTTTCATAACGTTGATGATATAGAGGAACATGAAAGCAGTTTACCATGAAGGATCAATGACACACTGAAAAAGAGCTTCCTATGAGGGAAAGATAGTGACCCAAGAATGGTGCTGAGCTCCAGAGGGCAGTTTCTGCTCACTGCACCTAAAGTGTTTGCATTTCCTTCTCTCTGATTGTCCTTTCTGCCTTTTCCTCAGTATTCTGATTAGCATACTTTATTGTAAAAGATTATTTTTGTGGTGGAAGAGACATTGTAAATGTGGTGGATATGTTTTTATTGGCTAATTGCTGGTCATGTCAGGTGAACCAATCATAAAAGTTGGAAAATAAGAAAAAGAATCTGTTAGGTTTCAGAATTCCGTATTAAAACATTGCCCCTCTCTTACTACAACTTACAGCAACGTTTACATGGATATGAAATCCATTTCAAACAAACTGTGGAAATACAATCGCTATCGCTACATCATGACCTTCCACGAAAAGCCTTGGCTGCCCCCACCTTTTATTCTGCTGAACCACCTGGGCCTCCTTCTCCGCCGGCTCTGTCACCATCGAGCTCCAAATGACCAGGAAGAGGGAGATGTTGGATTAAGTAAGTTTCTACTGGTGGGGCAGGAGGAAGAGAGTAAAAAGTGGAGATCCAAGGCAAAGACACACTGGGGCATTGTGAGTTAAATTCAGAACACAGGACGGAAGGTTCTGGGAGTTAACTGACAATATCAGCCAATGTCCTGGGTCTAAGCAGGTACATTGACCTCATTATATGGTTGCAGTGCCCATTGCCAAGGTCAAGTGGTACTTTGAAAGAAAGGAATAAGCAGGAAGAGAATCTCTGCTTGAATGTGGAAAGGCTTATGTCATTTGGAAACCCTGTATTTTCTCTGCTGACTTGGGAACTCATCAGAATAACTCTTAGAGAGTAGTCCAGTGACCCACACTTATTTCCCTGCTGTAGAAGATGGAATTCAAGAAGAAAGTTACAGAAGGCCTCAGGGTCTACAGGGATAGATAAGCAAGGCTTTGCTTAACTTACTAACCAGAGTCATGGTTCTCCAATTCTCTAATCTACTGAGTATGGCGCCGATTCTGAAATGGATGTTTCTTATTTCCAAGAACTTCAACTCAGGATGCAGAAATATGGAACTATGGATTGTCACTTTTTTTTCTTTCTGTTTTCAGAGCATAAGCCTGCATGTTTTGAGGTTTTCCTAGTTCATCCTGTTTAGCCAAATCTCGACTGCATGATCTGACTATCATAAAATTGTCATAATAGAACCTGCTCATTGTGGTTTACAGATCTTCTGTAGTCTCTATCGAGCCATTCCACAGTTGGTACCTGGCTTGTTTCGACATAATACCTAGACATAAGGGAAGTAGGTGGTATCCTTTATCCCACAACATCCAAAATACCTCTGAAAACTGAAAGTTCTTTTCCTTCATAAATTGAGGAAAGGTTCATTTGGCCAGAATAAGCTGATGGGAACTCATGTGAAGCCATTTATTTATTTTTATCCCTTGTAGGGGGAATATTCATTGATTTTGCTGCAGAAATACTAATGTGCTTGATTTTCAGGGACTGCCCTAGTCCCAGCTAGGATTTTACTACATTCATGGTATCTACACTACATTACCTTTCTAAAATTAGGGGGAAAAAATTCTAAAATTCAGATTCTAGGAGTTTCAGATAAGGGGCAGTGGACTATTTATACGTTTAGATGTCTCCTTAAGGGGACAGGTCATTCCCTGCAATATGTTATTACGGGGTTGAGAAGGTGATATGCTCTTTGCTTGTGAAGTATTTTTTTCTCCTCTTGAGTCACTTTGAAGATTTATTTTCCTTTTTTATTTCTTCCCTCCAAGAGATTCAGCCTTTATATGGAAGCCAAAGAACAACTGAAGTTAACTTGAAGGCTTACTGTAAATTTTAGGTTTCTAATATAGAGCCATCCAAGGAATTGGCTACAGAACCATTGCAACCAATACTAGAGTGGGGACTGCTCGAGAGACCTGGAAGTGACTAGGATTTGCCCAGATTTCCTAGTACCATATGAAAGAAACTTTCCTGGGCTCAGCCTGATCTAGGCTTATAGGATGATTCTATATAAAACTCAAGTAAATTTTTTGGCAGATAAAGGCAAGTTCACCCCGAGCTCTCAAGATTATTAAAATTCAGTGACTGCTTCCAGTCCTTTATGGTGAGTAAGACATTTTATACATAGGCAGCAGTGCCACCTGGTGGACAGTTACGGGAATGTGCCACACACTGCAAGCCGCAACTTGCTCTTGGGATAGTTTGCTGTCAGGTATGTGCAGAAGGCTCACATCGTGACAATTGTACAGTTTCTTGTCAAAGGAGATACTTGAATGACATTAGACATTAGAGCTGTTTGGGGGTGGGAGAGACTGGATTTTTTCAATGTCTGAAAGATTCTTCCACACCACAGAAATCATAAAATATTGTGCACTTGAGTTGTGAGCACATTTTATGGCTGAATATGAATTTCTTTTTGCGACACTTTCCAATTTAAAATTAATAATTTTTATCTTTATTTTTATTGGAAAAGAATGGAACAATTCCAGAGAACCATAATATTTCTTTTTTCCTAATTTAAGTAAAACCATTCAAGAAAGACAACCTTCCAATTTTATCCTTTTAGCAACATCACTTCATTTTTATATTTTCCAAGTATTAGAAACTTGCCTAAAAGATGATGTATTATTCTGTCAAGTAAGAGAGAACCAAGACGGCAGACCGAATGTGAATGCTGAAGTTTGGTGAAGAATTGCATTAGCCTCATAATATCACGAAATGCTGTGTCTTTTTTTTTTTTTTTATTATTCTTTTTATTTTGTCAATATACAATGTAGTTGATTATTATGTCCCATCACCAAAACCTCCCTCCCTCCTCCCTCTCCCCCCTCCCACCCAAGTGTGTCCCCTCCATTTATGCTGTATCTTTTAATGAATTAATTATAATTATGTCAGGGAAGAAATACAGTCCTGGTTGGTTATTGACTGGTAATAATAATGTGTCTTCTTTCAATAGGACTTAGTGTGTACGGGCTCAGTGTAACAAGATGAAACTTTCTTATACTTACTGGATTAATTTCAACAGACTTAGCCTTCTTCTAACCTTGAATTTAACCTGTAGGTTATTTATTGTCATTTTGATAGTTAAAACAGTCGGCAGAAAGAAAACAAGACAACCAGATTCCTTCCCCATTTGCACATCAATTTTTGTAGTGAGTTTTTGTTAATGTGTGAAAGCATTCTAATCCATGAAAATATTGCAAGTTTCTGTTCCACATATGAGTTTTTTCACAAAAGTAGGACTGGTGTTTCTAGTTATTTCTACATATTGCTTCTCCACTAATATTAGGAATACACTGTGTTGTCAACAGTGTAAACTTTTATCACACAAGCTGCAGTTTATCATTTTGAACACAAGTGGAAGAAAAGCCAGTCCTTCCTTCTACCAGCCCCCATTAAGGGTGAATCCTGATTCTTTTTATGTAACACACTTATTTCCACAGAACTCTACCTGAGTAAGGAGGATCTGAAAAAACTTCATGATTTCGAAGAGCAGTGTGTGGAAAAATACTTCCACGAGAAGATGGAAAGTCTGAATTGTAGTTGTGAGGAAAGAATCCGAGTGACATCAGAAAGGTAAAAGACATACAGCTTTTCCATTCTTAAAATGCTTCCCAAACCTGATTCTACTAGACTGTCTAAAAGAATAGAGGAATCCACTTTCACATGCCAGAGGTTTGGGTTCTGTAAAATTTGAAGCGTTTAGTAGCATATAATAGTCATGCAATCAGTGTATGTTTATTGAGCATCTACTATATTCCAGGCACTCGTCTAGTTACTAGGGATAAGTGGTGAATAAGAGACAAGAGTCCCTGTCCTCACAGAACTTACATTTGTGTGCGTGCATGCGCACACGTGTGCATGCATGCATATGCAGGTAATGAGGGAAATGAGGGTGGAGAACAAAAAACAAGAAACACATAAATACATAATTTACTATCCGGCAGTAAAAGAACTATGAAGAAAAATAGAGTAGTTTAAGGGAACAGGAAATGATGGTGGCAGGAGGTCTAGCAGAATCAGGGGTTGGGGGGACTGTTTTAGATAGCCTGGTCCAGGAAAGTTGCTCTGAGGAGAGGCCTGAAGGACGTGAGGGGCACGGGCCAGGCAGGGACATCCAGTGGGACAGTGCTCATGACAGAAGGGACAGGAAGGCAGCCCTCTGGGGCAGCGTGGTGCACCCAGCAGCAGCGGGGGGCCCCGAGGAGGGCCAGTGCAGTGTGCTGGCTGGCTGGGGGCCGTGGGGCTCTCAGGGCCCTGAACAGCAGTCGTGTGGTGGAGCTGGTGGCAGCTTCCCTGAAGTGGCTGAAGAGAGAATAGAAGATGTGGAGACAGCCATTACAGAAGTTTTACTGTGAAGGGAAGCAGGACAGGATATGGGGACATGGTGAGGTTCTTTTGTTCTGTTTCATGTGGAGATAGCAAAATAAATTTGTATGACCCTTGAAATGGTCCACTCATGAGGGAGGAAGTGCAGAACAGGAGGCAGGAGGCCTTTGCTGAGGGGAGGTCCTGAGAGGTGGGGGTAGCGGAGGGTCTGAGCTTCCCCCAAACAGGGGACCTGGAGAGAACGTGTCAGTGTAGAAGGGGGTGCAGACAAGACGGTGGGGTGCAGTTCTTGGGGCAGAGTCACGGGCTGAGCGTGCCTGCGGGTGTGAGTGCTTTAGGGGAGGTGGCGCAGGGAGGCTTTTCAGAGGCTGGGGACAGAGAAGACGTGCTGGGGAGCATGAGCGTGTCAGGACGCTGCGGTGGGCTCAGTGCTGCTGTGCACGCATTGCTGATTGTAGGTGCCTGGCACAGCATTAGGGTGTGAAAGACTTGTGCATGATTTTATGCATTTTTTAAAACAGAATTACTTTTGTTGGTGGAAGCAAATTGACAGAAGTTAAACGTGTTCCTTCATGTTTGAATATGTGTATGGAACCGACTCTTAAGAGGTTATACCTCACAGCAGGGATTTTTTCTGATGTCTGCATACCAGATAGATAGATGTGAATCCTTAAGAATGGCTGTATTTGAAACTGAATCACATTGGGAGCTTTCTAAATGATTCACGGTGGGCATAAGTCATATTTATATAATTCTGGACTTTTCTATTAACACCACATTTTGGAAATATGTGTTTATGTAGCTGATTGAATTTCAACAGATTTAATATTGAGAAAAAATAGAATATCAAATAAAGATTCATGAGCCCACAAAATTCTATTTTACTTAAATATCCTCAGGCCGTACATGAACTTCTCTGCCCCTTCTCTCTTCCATGCATTCTCCTTCTGACATTGCTATACTCATTGAGTCCTGCTGACCAGCTTGGTTCTGTTTTGTATGAGGCACATACCCACCGCAGGAGCTTACAGAGCCAGGCTGAAGTCCTGCTTCTACCACTCACTAGACATAGGTACTTGGGAAAATTTACTGCACCTCTTTGGGTCCTCATTTTCATATCTGCAAAATGGACATGAAAATAGACCTACTTCTTAGAGTCCTTGCAAGGATTAAAGGAGGCAGTGTAGATGAGCTGTGTGGCAGAGTGCTGACGGAGAGTGCGGGTGTCATGAAAGTTATCTATTATTACATAAAAATCGACTCCAAAGATCGTGAGTATAATTTCTTTTTAAATAAAAATTCACTTTTAATCCTTCAGAAAAAGGGGATAAATAGATAAGATGGGGTCAAGATAGTCCTTCCTTTCCTAAGATTATGAACTGGGACAAGAGCCCCGTAAACTGTAAATTAAGGAAGGATTTTAAGTGTTCAGCAGTATGGACAGATTTACTGCATCTTATGTACTTGATGGAGTTTGGATGTGCTGTCCCCTCCAAAACTCATGTGGAAATTTGATCTCCAATGTGGCAGTGTTGGAAACTGATTGAGTCATGGGGGCGGATCCCTCACGAATGGATTAATGTTCTCCTTGGGGGAGGGGAGCTCTATTAGTTCCTATGAGAGCTCGTTGCTTAAAAAGACCCTGGCACCTTCTCTCTGTCTCTCTTGCTTCCTCTCGCCATGTGATCTGCTTGTACCGGCTGGCTGCTGCCACTTTATGCCATGAGTGGAAGCAGCCTGAGGCCCACGCCAGATGCAGCTGTCCCAGAATCGTAAGCCAAATAAACCTCTTTCCTTTATAAATTACGCAGTCTCAGGTAGTTCTGTTATAGCAACACAAAATGTGCTATAACACTACTCTAAGAGGTGGGGGTAGGTAGTATCATAGATAGAGTGAAAACCTGAGAATCAGACATTTACAAATAAGTACTTCAGTGATAATAATAATAAAATCCTAAGAAGATTAAGTATTATATATCATTATATTTCTCTAGAATTCTTTTCTTGGGATTTGAGAAAGGGATTAGAAGTTAGAAGAGTATGCAGCTTCTAAAAAACGTGGATACTTCTAAAGGGTTTAGGACGTGGTTATGAAGCTCTAGTTTAACCTCAAAATATAATCAATTTTCTCTCTTGACAGAGCTGTTTCAATGGCACTGGTTTTATTCTGTCATCCTTGTTGAGGTCATTTCTGGGGAGCTAATGAGTGAGGTTGTGGCATAATCCTGCTGACGACGCCATTTGTCTGGCTACTGCTAAGGCCTGGGATCCTCATAGCACCAATTGTCTAGTTCTTAATCCTGTTTGTGATGCCAGTTGTAAAGCTAGGCAAGCACACTAATTGTCAGGCTCTTCTTTTACCTGCCGGTAGTCCTGCACTGACTATGCCGATTGTTGAGCTAGGGCTGCGTCTGGTGCTCCCAGACCCCTCAAGCCCATTCACAGGCTGGGTCACAAACCCTTCATATGCTGGGCTGGGTCACCAGACCCCACACATGCCAGGCTGGCTCATCAGACCCCTTCCCACGCAGGTCTATGAGCTAGGTAACTGGCCAAAAGGTCCTTGGAGCCATAGGTTGGAAAGCATGGTTGCACCGGGTGGATGCCCAAGGCCAATGCCTGCCCGCCTGCTTCACCAAACTCTCTCTCTCTTCTCTTTCTCTCTCCTCTCTGAAGAACACAAGAATAGCAACAAAAACTAAAAAGATACACTGGCACACATGTGCACTAACTCCATGCACACACACAGACACAATTTGCTTACAAAGAATGCTGAACCACACCCAACTGGACCCGAGGCAAGGGCCCTGACCGGAGTATTCTATTTTCCCAACAGAAGTGCAGGAGCGAGGGAAGAATATTTCCAGAGGTAGCTGGGCAATAGTTTGAAGAGGGGGAAGGAGATGAGGAGGATATTTGCATGTCTGCCTACCTCTAAAGAAAAAATCACCTGTATCCTTCGAGAATTAAGTGAGTCGTGAGAGTGGAAAAAGAGAACATAGTAAGGCTGATTTATTTCTCACTCTTCCTGTTTGGAACACGTGCTTCTTTTTTGAGCCTTGTAGTGTAAGCCAGCTTTTTCCTCTCTGTTTTGTGGAGTAAGATGTTTTTAGGTATTTTTCCACATAAGCATGTTTGAGTGTGTTCTACTTGAAAAATGCTGCGGTTTTTAAAAAGTTTATGGTTTTTAATATAACGTGCATGGTGACTCGACAGTTGAGAGTTTTAGCCTGAGCAGATCCCATCATTATTTGACCGTGATACTTTATTGAGGCACATCTGTGAACCCCTCCCGGCATGGGAAATGTCAGTGTAGTTTATTTAGTGCTTCATGGGACCCTAGGAGCTCCAAAAGTAACATGCCTGGGTCCCAGATGAGTTAATGTCATTGAATACAGAGTCAGACTGTCTGGATTTGGTGCTCGACTCTGTCACCGGCCAGCCATGTGACTCTGGCTGTGTGACCAGCCTCTTTTCTGTGAAAGGGATAATAGTAACGCCTACTTTGTAGGGTTGTTATGTTGGTTAAATACGATAATACATGTAGAACTTTTGTAAAATGCCTGGGACATAGTGAGCACTCAGTGAATATTATGGATATCATGATGATTATAATTATACTTGTTATTAACTCATTTTAAAGTATCTTCTCCAAAGGCTCACAATAAAACAATTACCACACTCATCTTTCCTCCACAGAGGAAATGAAAATTATAAGAATTTGTTTTATGTGTCAGAATGGCTGAAAGGCTAGATTAAATGAATGTATTTGTGGTTTAGGAATATAATTAAAATATGTTTCACAGGACATTGAGCTTTAGAAAATAAGTACCTTTAAAAGCAAGAGGCTTCAATTTGAGGGTGACTAGGTTATTTGTCTAACAGGGTTCTATTGTAGCGTGTTACCTGTTGCTGTGAATAGTTGCTGGTTTGCATTGTATCCACGCGAAGTGACTGCTGCTAATGGAACTTAATGAGTCTCCATTACTGCTGCTCAGACTGTCCTGTTTTTGAATTAGATGAAACAGTGCACTGGATGGAGTGCACTGGATGTCCATTACTGCTGCTCAGACTGTCCTGTTTTTGAATTAGATGAAACAGTGCACTGGATGGAGAGGCTCTAATTAGGCATATTTGGAAGAGAATATACATATATTTTGTACTCTTTCCTACATCATCCTTGCCAGTTCTGATTTTGCAGGTTTCAGAAGGTTAGGAGGCATTTATAAAGCCTCTGTTGAGTTATAGAAGTTGAATTCTATAGCAGAAGCAAGAAAGAGAAGGTTCTAATCACATAGAATCTAAAAAAAAAAAAAAAAAAAAAGGAAAACACCACCCTCTTTATTCTTTAATTCCTGTTTACAAACCTGCCAGAGAGAAGAGGAAGGTCTTTCAATCCCTGTGACTTGAGATGTGGACTAGAGATGGGAAGTCTAATGCTATTTTGGGAAGTAGTTTACTTGCTGCAGCTGCATTAAACTCTTTATGGTGTAGTCACTGCTTCTCCCTGCCCCAAATAAGACCAGGCATGATTTTTCATTTCTGCAGATGGTTGTGTCAGTCAGAAAACTGCTGGTTAGATTTTCTCCCTTGCTGTTTTTTACGGTAATCCTATTGATCAAAGATCTTCATTATTGAGAAGGTAGAAGTATAACCCCTTTTCCCCAAATAAAAGAACAAAAAAAGGGGGGAGGGGAGAAAAGAAAGAAAAACAATGTGTGAAACAGAGGTCACTGTGAAAATTTTGCCTTTTTTCCATTTAATTTTCTATATATTTTCAGTTAAAATTGTACAATTTTATATTCTGCTTTTTCCCTCTTCCTTATAAAAATATTGCTTTCTAAATCATTACTCTTTGTAAATATATTTTAACTTTTATTGTTTCTCTGCTTATAAAATTTTCATGCCAAATTTAAAAGCATGTAATATAGAATATAACAGACATTTATAGCCCTAAGCCTGCCACCAGAAATAGACAAAATAACTATCAACGATGTAAGTATGGTTTTTTTTTTTGTCTTTTGTCTTTTTTTCCATGTCCGGCAACGGATCGCAACCCTCAGTGTTGCCCCCG